TGATTGCGGGCTGTGCATTGATTTCGGGAACAAACGGTCCCAATGTTAGTGAAGACGGGGAATTTTTTATTGTGCGCCCGTGATTCATTATAGTAATAAGTGAGCGAGTGACTTGTGGCATTGTAGGATTAACTAGTCGTGTGTACAGATTTCCTGAGTGAACGATTGTTCGAGTGACATACTGTCGAAATTTCACGGTGAAGATTGGACATTCGGAGTTAATAAATCGTCCATCGAGAACGTGATCCAAAAGGAGGTGCCGACGATCGTGTGAAAGCTACGTTGGCGATCGGCAATCGCGAACTAGACAAGAAAAAGAGAGAGAGAGAGAGAGAGAGAGAGAGAGAAAGAGAGAGGAGAAGGAGAGCAGTAGAGTCATAATGCGCCGTTGTTACGGCTAGCGCCGGCCTCATCATTCCGCGAAGCGCGAGCTTCAAGTATTTCGACGGCGTCGGGCTCGCCGAGATGAGCGGTGGCAACGGCGGCGGCGGAAACGGTGGCGGTAATCAAGGCGGTAATGGCAACGCCACGACTTATCATCAGCACCAACAGCAGCAGCAACAGCAACAGCAGCAACAACAACAGCAACAGCAGCAACAGCAATCGCTGGAGCAGGCCGGCCTGCTGTCAGATCTCAATGGCATCGACCTGGCGATGAGCCTGTCGCCCAAGCAGCATTCATCCCACGTGCAAGCTGCTGGTGCCCACACTACGCCTTTCAGCGTAACCGATATCTTGTCGCCGATCGAGGAGTCTTACCGGAAGCTCGAACTCGCCGCTGCCGCCGCCGCCGTCGGTGTTGGTGTCGGCGTCGTAACGCATTCCCAGGGCTCGCCTTACGGGAACGCATGCGGTGCACGGGTGGGTGGTAACACCGGTAGCTCGAGCGCAAGCAGCGGCAGCCCGCCGCTGCACGGTGGTTCGACGCCCGGCGGCAGCACCCCCGGACCAATTTCCGTTGCCAACGGGGCCGCCCCCGGTGGCGGTGGCGCCGGCAGTGCCGGCGGTGCCGGCGGAGGCATGAGTGCCATGGGTAACCCTTACGCAACTATGCAGCTCACGTCGCAATATCAATATTGCGCCGCGGAATTATCGCCGTATCATCATGCCGGACCCGGCGTGGGCGCCACGGCCACAGCCACGGACCCCATGAGGTCCCACGCGGTCTCCTCGCATCATCATCCGTGGTACGCACCAGCGCCACCGGCCACCAATGACCCGCGCTTTGCCAGTGAGTAGCTTGTCTTTTATTCAGAGAAAATCTTTGAAGAAAGTCCCAAGTCCCAATCGACACTAACTAAAAGTAACATCAATATAACGATATAAATGTAATATAACACATGGTATTAATAAAATAATAGTTACGTTGTTGATGTTCTGTGATTTTTAATTGATGTCGACTGGGAGACGTATAGTGATGTCTAACATCTATTAAATCTATTTCTTATACTGATGTAGATATAGATTAATTTTAATGATTAATTTATTTTACTCTTTATCTTTTTCTGATTAATTACGAATTCTTACACGAAAAGAACGATTTTGCTAAAAGAAGTAGAATCTAAAATTTAGTTAGATATAGATTTGAAATTAATTTTGTTGAAAAGTAAAAAATGATGAACAATGCTACAAAAATTTTGACATAACAATCCATTTCCAACAAAATTATTTTTAAATCCAGCAAAATTTTAGATCTCAGTAAAATCATTCTTTTCATGTAGAACTAAAAACGATAAAAAATAAGTTAAATCGGGATTAATTAATGTTGCATAAGATGAACGAAACCTGAGCAACTTTAGCTAAATTGTCGCTCAATACAAATAAATATATTAGGTGTTGGAATTAATTCGTAGCGTTTTTTAATGAAAATGTTATTTATTTCACATGAGCATTAAAAAATACATTAATGAAAGTACTTCCCATCACTTATAAAACGCTACGAATTAATTCCAACACCTAATATAATATACATATATGTGTTATGATATCAAATTTGTGAATATATAAAATTGTAATATAAAAATGTGAAAAATATCATATTATCGATAATTAATAAACAAATTAATAAACAAATATTAATTTTTCGTTAATTCGATCAACTTTAGGTAAAACTACTATTACATTCTATTATACAAAATATTTTCAAAAAGACTTATTTTTCTTTATTACGGTTTTGTTCGCAAAATCATTAATCATCACTGCAACTATATAGACGTCCAAAAATGCGATTATATTGTATTAAAAGTCAATTGTAGCAGATAAGCGTAGAAATGATCATTTTCGAAATTTGAGGAACGATTTTACGCTCGTTAATGGAGGGAATATTTTGTTTGATATATCTACATACATTTACATGCTCGTTAGATGAGCAAAAAGCCTTCACGGACTTCGTCTACATATTGATTAATTCAGTCATTCGATGAATTATGTCTTGGACAGTTAGTCTGTCTGCTAACGTTACCGAGTTATCGAATGCAAACAGTCATTCTGTCAGCCTGTTAAATGAGTTTCGAGGGGTCTGTATTTATCAGAGAGGCTCGGTGTGTAGTCTCATAGAATATGACGCTTATACTTTCAAAGAAGACGTGTTCTCCCTGACGATCGTCGGCATGAAAACCGACATCAGACGTACGATCTACACCTGTTATTTAATCACTAATTGAAAAAATGGCGAGTGAAATCTGTAGGAACGTCAGAGAATCACGCGCGAGAGTTAATGTTATCAGATATTCATCAAAATCTTGTGTTTTGTGTATAAATGCCGGAAGCACGACATGAAGCGACTCTAGAGAGAAAGAGAAGGAAAAATAAAGAGAGAACGATGTATGCTGCATGTTGTATTCGGATAAAAACCTATCTTCTAACGAGCTATTCCTTCCGCCTTCCAAGAGTCACGTCCGTCAGGCTTTTATCGGTCTTGTAACGACAAGACCATGGATATCTTAGCTTCATTTAGGGATCGACGAGAGAGTATCGGTTTCGCGTTACAAAGTTGACGAAAATGCGCTATCGTTAATTGGTAAGGAGAAACCCGTCGGCATTTCTCAGTTTACAACTGTCTCCAAGTGTTCTACGAGAGAAAGAGGACTAGATTTTATTCTTCAAAAGCGTGTAGGAACTTTCTACAAATAAGCCAACAAATTGTGAGGATAGGGATTTGCTGGAACTCTTGAAAAGATTGCAATGATACGGCTTCATGAAAGATGACGATGCAAATGGATTTTTTCAGATTGATCTTTCTCAAATCATTTGATTCTAGATATAACAGAGAAGAAGGATTCTAAATCTATTTTTGTATCTTAACCCTTCCGCAATCTGGATCTTTTTTTAGCACAAGCAAAATTTCACTCTCAAGTTTCTTGTACATTTTTCTCAAATTCTAATTTAAAGGTTTTAACATTTGAGTTAAACAACTATTATGATAACGTAGTATAGAGATGTTGAAAAGTAACCCTGAATTTTTGCACATTTTTTAAAAGTCTGGAGCACTGAAAAAACTTGGGCTAAACAAAAAAAAAGACCCAGACAGAGAAAGTAAAAATATGGTTGTAAATGGAGAGTTAAAAACGAGACTTTTGAATTTAATCGTCCATGAAGTAAGTGGAGATAGAGCAGTCAGCAGTTTGCAGTGATATTCTTTAAGTGGAACAGTTTAAAAGGATTGGCGTAAAAGCATCCTCGGGAAGTGTAGGAGCTTTGACACTTCGGGGATCCATTTGGATGTCCAGGGCGCCGCATAAGTTTCGCGTTTCAGTGTCCACAAAAGGAACGTCGCGCATACCACCGTCGGCCAACAATGCGCGCATCTTTCATGCGACTTGTGTCAACAAGGCATTCGTCTCTCCTCTGTGGATTTTCGTCCATCGCACGCGCCACTTTAGCGAGCCGATCGCTCGTCGCTCTCGCCGTATCGATCCAGAATTCGAGAAAGCGCGACTAGTGGACGGCGCTGAGGATTTTAGTTAAACAAATAAGAGGGACTGGTCCTCGAGTTAAATGCCTCAGACGCGCGGATGCCCGTCAGCACCATACGAATTCGATTTCGCAGGACTTATCGTCGCCCTTTGTAAAATAAACAGAGCGCGCAGGGAAACCCCATGTTCATCCATGGAGTTGCAAACGAGACCGTTTCCCTGATGCGCTTCGCGATCGTCCGAATTCGTTTTCTAAAAACTGCGACTATGTGGCAGTATTACGTAGATTGCGTGTCGCGAAACGATAGTATAAAGTAAATCGCGAAAGAGTTTTTGTCAAATCATTAACGTATTTAATGTGAAATGTAATCTATCTATCAATTATATTATAATTTAATCTATCTATCAATTATATTATAGGTGGAAATTCTTTGAGTATTTTAAGATGTTTATTAACATCATTATTAAAGTGTTCAATGTAATTTATGATATGTTATTTTCCAGCTTCAATTTATGATTGTGTTTCAAGTCCGACAAACAATCGATACGCAGTTATAGAACTGAAAATAATTTGTAGTAATGTGTATTATTATTATTATTTGTAAATTATTTTGCAAATTTATAATTAATATTTGTAAAATACGTATGAATATTATTAAACACTAAGATCTGCTCCGACTGAAAAAAAGGATTCTTTTATTTGATTTTTGATTTATAATCTATTTGTTTTACTTCTTTGTGAATTCTATAAAGAGCAAGTTGTAAATTTAAATACCGGTCATATATTGTTCGCTGTGCATTCAAAAAAAAATTTCAGATCAAGGAGAATCCACTCATTAATGTTTTCAATCTGACTTTTTTAATATCATCATGCTATTCCAGTTTGACGTTTTTCAATGATAGATTACATCGATTGATTGTGCTATGCGTTTGCGATTTGCATTTTAGAAACGTCCTATTGAAAACTTTTGCTCTTATCGCCACATAAACATTATTTGTATGAATTTCTTTTACAACTTTTTGCGATTTGTATCGTCTACACATGTAATCGTGTGAGTATGTAGCATTGTGTCGTGAACGACAATGCAACTCCATTTTTTTATTATTAATCTTACGTGATTGAAATTATGAATCAAATTAAATCAATTATATACAATAGAAATATTATATATTATTGAAAATGCATAACTATTGATATTAAAATATAAATCAGAAGTTGTAGTTCATTCAGCTAAAAATTGTCCCCATAAAATAAATAATTAAATATATCTCTATTAAAAAAATTTTAATTGTTATTACATTCTAAACTCGGCAAGATTTTTTTAAAATTGTTTTGTATTGCATTTTTTCTATATTTTTCTATATTTCATTCATTTCAGTATGTTTCTCTTTCTCTCTCTATCTGATTTTCTACGTTTTTTCAAATATGAAACTTCCTAATATTATAATGATAATAAACTATCAGAATTTTGTCCTATCAGAATCTTGATAGGTATTCATTATATTTTCGCTCTACTTTATCCTTGCAAAACGTTTAAGATCTTGAATACAGTTTTAATCTCTAGTTGTTCTAATCAAATTATTTACTATCTAGAATATATTTGATAGAAAAAAACACATAATTTTGAGAATCAATTTCATCAATAATTTGTCTTTGCATTACGCAAACTGAGATCGTGAATAGGATTTCCGTAGCAAATTTAATAACAAGTTACAAATTCTGTGATACATGAATTGTGACGCTTTAAATAAGATCTAATTAGAGTAAAATTAAAGTGAAACGCGAAATTATGTAATAAGCAAAATTATGCAATCGACGCGTGAAATTAAATGTTACGTCTATATCTATATGCCATCAGACGAGATATTTTTATCCCGCTGGATTGGACGACTTTCACACTGTGGGCGGTACGCGAAGACGTCTGTGATTCGGAGCGAGAAATCTTTTGGGCTTTTGTCACCTAATTGGAAGCTGAAGAGTCGAGACGGTGGAGACTTCCCCACCCCGTCGCTATGCCACATAATTACGTTTTGAAACGGGGATGTTCGACGTGAGGCAGAGTGCGACGCCGGTGGTCAGGTAGACGTTGGAGAAACGTCAATTTATTTAACGAGTTCCTGCACGCGCGTTGTTCACCCATCATCGGGATCTGCCTTCGTGTATTGGCAGAAGTTACATCGAAACATCCCGTCCCGTCAGTCGTACCCTCACGCATTGTTCTCGGTGACTGCTGACGAGCAGCTTTAAAAGGATGGCATCGTACGAGAAACATAATAATTTACATCACCGATGTGATTTACGTGAAATTCCTCGCAGTACCAATTAACGTTAACACGTGATAATCGCGTATCAATATTTAGAGTCTCTTTTCGAAATTGTATAAATTTACGAAAAGAGACCATAATTTTTAAAAATTATCAAGTATTTATTTCATGAGAACGTGGGTTTATAAAATTTGTGAATAGAATATATAACAGACGCGTGAGTCAATTTTGATTAATTTGAATGCGGTATGTTTGATAATCAGTGTAATAATCTAGGTAGGAGGAAATCGTATACGAGTTTATTAAAAAGGTCTATTAAAAAGGTTGTCAAGTTTCAAGAAATCAGGTGTAGAAAATTTATGGATAGAATATATCATGAGAAGTGATGAGATAGATTTGATTAACTCGAATGTAGAGCGTTTGGTAATCAGAGCAACAATCCAGGTAGGAGGAGATCGTATACGAATTTTTAAAAAGGATTGTCAAGTTGATTTCAAGAGATCGCGGGCTTGTAAAATTTGTGGATAGAATACATCGTAACAGGCAAGTGACATGAGTTTGTTTTAATTAATTCGAATGCAATACATGTTGCAATCAGTGTAACAATCTAGACCGTGTCACAAAAAAAAATCTATAGTATCTGTATATATGTATTTGTAACGTGAACTATAGATTTTCAATACTGACTGTACATATTCAAACACAATAGATAAGAGGAGATCGTATATACGATCTTGTAAAAATAATTATCAAGTTGATCTTAAGAGATCACGTGCTTATAAAATTATACGATACCAGACAAGTGGCTCGCGAATCAATTTTGATTAATTCGAATGCAGGGCGGCTGGTAATCAGTGCAACAATTAATCTCGATAGGAGGTGAGGCGAAGCCACGAAAACTCATCGAGTACTCGAATCGGCTATCGAATATAGGCTATCGAACGTAACTCCGGATATCCGCGTAACGCGAGGGGCCTTCGACGAAAAACGCGTCGACTTCTTTCACCGAAAACACGACAATTACTTTTGCTCGATGCACAGTGCACTCCGGATTTTGAGCTACGAGTTCCGTACGATTTCTCCCGTACGGGCGCGCCGAGGTAAACAAATTTGACGGTGTTTGTTCCTGCGCTCAAGTGGTATTTCTTTCTCGCCCTCGACTTCACTGACGGCTCGAGAAATACGGTTCTCACAGGCATAATAATTCGGAACTTCATCTCGGGGACCTCCCGTGCTCCGATGACGTAGCACTTCGCAGCGCCTAAATCGTTCCCTTTGTCCGCGCCCAAGCGCGTTCATTTTTGACAGCTCCTCGCCAACTGACAAGGGATAGACGACCGCTCGCTCGCTCGCTCGCTTGCTCGTCTGGGTAGCCTTCGGTAGCTCAAATTTAGAGGAGAATCGTTCAGCCATATATGCTTAGACGTATACTTATGAAAATATGAATATGTCATTATATAATCATAATTATTATAATCTCTATCGCCACACGTTGAAATCGTTGGTAACAATTCTTTTAATTAGTTCTCAAGAATTTAATTCTCGCTATGTTTAACGCGAGAGTAGATGTTTCGTATTGTACATGGAAAGAATGAATTTTAAAGTATCTATAAATTTAGCTATAGATACAGAACATCAAAATACATACAAAATATTTATGTAAAAAATTCAAACATGATGAGTAATACTGCAAAAAATTTTGACATCCAAAAATGATTTTTAGCCAGCTGGTTGCTTTATTAAATTTTTTTGCAGCATTACTCTCATTAAGTTTCCTAAATAATTATTTTGATGATTAAACAAAATTATTTTCAATAAGTTATATACAACTCACATTAAAATATTAAGAGAAAAAACATAGAGTAATATTTCTGTAATTGGTGCGCGAATAAAATATTACTTAATTAGTTATTTTTAAATAAAAAATAATAAATTATTGAACATGAACGTTTCAATTCTTCTTGGAGTCGTTCTGAGCTTACAATTAGTAATTCAATTTAAGATATTATTAACAGTCTCAATGCGGAAGAAATGAAAGATCCTTGTTAAAAGAATGTAAAAAAAATCATGACTACAGTGTCTAGAATAATGTGAGTGGATGTATGTTCACTGTAAAAAAAAAAAATAAAGAAAGATTGTAAGAAAGTTATTTTCGTATCTGTGCTCAACTGTACTTATATGTATTTCAGCAAAATCGTTTCTTCTGTGTATAGGATAAGGTCTATTATGAGATAGGTTTCCAATATGAGATAGCAGGATTTCTGCTAAACTAATAAGCGCATGTGGTCGATTTTATTATGAACTTGTTACTCATAGAGTGAAACATATTTAGTGGAAAATTCATTATTAAATCATGCGTGTAGTAGTCGTGAAAAAAGATTTTTGAAATTGGATGTTGTCGAATTTTATTGAGATTAATCTTCAAATCTTGTTTTATTATATAATAAATAAATATTTGGTAATAAAGTCTGTAAACAGTGATAAAGTAAGGTCGTATTATTAGGAAAACACGTGATATAATGATTGAACTGTAAAAATTAGATTTGATGATCATGAAACCGCAAGGCATGGAAGTCGTAATATGAGATACTCAACAAGGTATTCCTAATTATATGAGAGCATCTAAATGATTCAATATTTCAAAGCATATTATTGAACGAAATGTTAAAATTCGTTAAAAACGATTCTATTATTAAGATTACTCACACACATACACACACATAAAAAAATTATACAATTATTATGTAACATTCAAATTCTTTGTTCCTACTTGTATATAATAAAGCATATATAAAAAGTTTATCTTTATTTTTTTTTTAGTTTTTTGTTACGAGATATCACCTCATACAAGAAAATCCTTGTATCTCACATTAGGAACTTATTTTTTGAATCAGCAAAATCAGCGCTTTCGATAAAAAAATTTCACATACAATAATGTATAGCTACTATCGATCGCTAACTTTAGGTGGTAAATCTTGAATATATTTCTCATAAAATTGACACGAAAATAGGAGTTAAAGTTACAAATTAAATAAATTACACCTCTTTAAAAAAAAGGTATCTCATATTAGGCGACTTTACCCTATCATTGAATACGTAAAATCTAAAACTATTCGCATGGATAACTAAAATAAGATTTAAAGTAAGATATCGGAATTAGAATGCGGCGTCGAAAACAAGAAATACATCTTTCGTTAAGTATAGACCTTAAATTTTCATAATGAAGATGCATGCGGAAAAAGAAGGCTGCAAAGTATCATTCCCGGTTTGTTCAATATGTTTTGCAGTCTCGCGACTGATGGGCGCCGCGGCGGCGGGCGCCGGGACCAACATGGCCGGCTGCTCGGTGGGCCAGTCGATGGGCGATGTGACCAAGTCGTCGGGAATGGGGGTGGGCGTCGGCGTCGGAGTCGGCGTCGGCATGGGCGTCGGCGCGATGCAATTCCCTCTCGCGCAGAGACGGAAGAGACGCGTACTCTTCACCCAGGCCCAGGTTTACGAGCTCGAAAGGCGATTCAAGCAGCAAAAGTACCTCAGCGCGCCCGAACGGGAGCATCTGGCGTCCTTAATTCATCTAACTCCCACGCAGGTATGTTTATAATTAGTAATTACTTGTTATTTATACGTAAGTTGTAGTCGTTTTAGTTTACGACAGACACTCCGTTTCGAACGTATTCGTACTTCGGACCGAATGTTGTTCATTTTTAATTTTTTGTAAATTTCTGATGAAACTCACTGAGTTCGTCTAGTGTAGTGTGATTTCGTGATTAAATTTATCGCTATTGTTTGTCCAAATAACACAACATAAAATCTTTTAAACAATTCTTCGAGACATCTTTTAAATATCTTAAAGATGTCTTATATTCTAAATATGGACTTGTTATTTTCTGGGTTTGTTATGGGTGTATCATTTTCATTATATTACAGACGATGGCCATTAAAGTTAAAGGTACGAATTTTATGTTAATTTATAAATCGGGACAAATGGCGTCCAGGATTCTTTCGGGACATCTCTATAGAGAGAAAATCAGGAAGTCTCGTTAATCACTCTGCAGCCATGGCATACAAAAAAACTTAGCAATAAGACGTATGCAGTAAGCACGTCAATTTTCAGGAGCACAGACCTTTGCATAACGCATAAAGCACAAGAAAGAAAATCAATCAATCAAAGTACTTTTTATACCCTTGGATTTGCAGTGAGTGCTCCTGTCCTTACTACAGTCTCTACTGTGATTAGCCAATTCGTTTATTGCTTACGTTAAGATTTTTTGTGTGCCATGGTAGAAGATGACGAATTGTTAACTAATTGATTCCTTTATCTAATATTCAATACGTGAATTAATCGGGGGACGAACTATATACTTGTCCGTTAAATATACTTCGCACAATTTTATTAAGTCTTGACGAAGATCCACGGTAGTGGATAGTTATCGTCTATCAAACGGATAAGATAGCTGGTTCCGGCATACGCAGATTTTAACAATATGTATACATGTATTCAATATGTATTCATTTTCATTGAATACGCAGACAGGTCTGGCCGGCTCGAGATGCGGTATAGCGGTCTGGCAACAATAAATAATTGTTACGTGGCTCATTGGCCGCATCCTGCGTTGATGCACGTTCATGCGCGGGTCTCCCCCTTATTCGGTCTATCGTTCCGTCTACCGTTCGTCTCTCCGTCTGTGGTTCAATTCACTTATCAGCCCTTTGAAAACAAGCGCGTCGAATTGTCCGTTTGTCATCGCGACGTTTGTAATGCAATAAGGACGACGTTATCGATATAACTTAACTTAACTAGCGCTAATCGCCATAAAAATCTTAAAATATCTTTTACAGTCCCCTTTTGATCTCTATATAAATTCTTCAAAGTAATAAAACTTCATTTATTAATATTAGATTAACGTATACTGTGTGAAAGAAGTTTGCAAATGTTTACTATTTTGTACTATAATTGCATGGAAAAATAATTATGATTAGGAACTGAATTTTTAGTTATTACTGTCATAATTTGTTAGTAATAAATTATATTTATAATTTCTACACGTAGTCGAAAAAGATCCATGTGTTGCTGAAGTAAAAATTCAATTATATAGATGCAGATCTGAAAATAAATTTTAAACTAATATCAAAATAATTATGTAAAACTGATTGCTTATAGAATGTCAAGATTTTTGCAGGATTGCTCATCATATTTGTGTTTGTCACATAATATTTTGCCAACAAAATTATGTTTTGTATCTACCTATATTTTTAAATAATTTAGAAATCTATTCTTTCCGTGTATATTTAAATTATAGTCAACTTGTGGTAATTGCAACCATTTTCTCTCAGTGTAGATGAAATGAAATAATTATATTGATAAAATTGAGATTGAAATGTATTTGATTATATTTACTAATTTGCGAGAAATAATTTGAAAAAATAAATATTCACATGCTTCCCTTGGAAATATTCTCAAAAAGAACGC